AATATTGTACCGTGAGCCTTTCTGCTCCTATCTCCAGGAGCGACTGCTGAAACCTCTGAGTGCATTTATTGGCATGAACAGTGAGATGCGAGAATTGGCAACCGTTGTGAGCCGGGTAAGATCTGATATTCAATTCACAAATTTACGGAGGCAGGCCGGGGCTTCTGGAGCATTGCGGGCTGCTTCTTTTATTAATAACAATAAATATGATCATTTATTTATAAAGTGCCCCCACTTGCGAAGGCACTCATATTGTTTAGAGGCACAATAATGCATGATAAATAAATTATAGAATCATAAAATTACAATATAAAAAGCCCACCATCTCACGATAAGAGGCCAAGAAAACCAAGAGAGAAAAAGACTTAGAAATGAAGGGACAGGTGAAAGGTTTTATAGCACAGCCAAGAGTCAAGGAAAGAAAGCCTCTTAGAGAAGGGAAGAGTATGTCTGTGTCTTGTTGAAAAAGTCGAAGCCTAGAAATAGGGATGTCAGGAATCTGATGATCTCATAATTGAAATTTTCCATGAAAAACAGAACCAGTAGGAAAGACTTTACCATTCAGGCTACTGACTTTTTTCAAGTTTGCACCCTGGAATCAAAAGTATGTAAGTAATGATGCTTAATGGTTAGTGACACAGGCTTTGGAATCCGTTGATCTGCATTTGATTTCTAGATCCTTCTGTTTCTAGCTGTGTGACTTTGGGCAAGTTTCTTAGGGAATAGAATAGATTATAGAGTTATAGGATATTTTCTGATTTTCAGTGACTCATGTTTAATCGAAGACTGAAACCCAGACAGGCTCCGAGAGGTATTTAAAGTGATCCAAAGAATGCACAGGCACTCCAAGTGACTGAGGGTTCCTTGGCTGTTTCTGTTCAGTGGAGCAGTTGTTTCACACGTGCCTGTTATGTCAGACGCGATCTGGCTGCTGGAAACACAAAGGTGCCCTACTTTTGGACACATTCTTTGTCTACAAGTATTTCTCATCCCAAGGGCAAGGTGCACTTTGAGAGCATGAAGGAGAGAGGGAAATATTTCGCCAAAGAATGGGGGGAGGTGAGTGTTAAGGAAGAAGATACGCAGGAAATAGCTACGTGGAAAAGAGTGGAACAGAGAGGGTGGGAGGCGTTCTGGGCAAAAGCACATCTGTGTGAAATCACATAGTTTGTGAGCCACCCAAGAAGCAGGGAGTGGTGGGAAACAGGGTTTGGGAAAGGAGGCAGGGTTCCTGAAGAAGGGCTGAGAACTGGCCTCTAGGAGACAGGACCTTTGAAAGGCAGCCATCGGGAGATGGGACCATCACGTGTGCCTGCGGATAGCTTGCGCTATTGACAGTGAGGTGGAGAGAGAGCAAAGGAATAGAGGTGAGGAGGCTAGCTGTGAGGCTTTCACCAGTGAGAGGGGATGAGGGACTGAGCCAGGCTGCAGGAACTGGGATGCACGAGAGAGCAGAGCAAAGTATTTTTTTACACCCGCAACAATCAATAGTCTCCTTACCATTTTTCCAGAGGGATAACATGACTAGTAAGGATAGAACTGTAGGGTGGAAGTGGCCTGAAACAATCCCATCTGGAATCCTTTGCACAGTACCATGGGAGGTAGTCATCCACCCGCTGCTTGAATGCTGACAGTGACGGAGAATTCACCACCTCATGGAGCAGTCCTGTTGAGCTCCAACTAATAACTTTGAATTGATATAAGGAGGAACCTTTGGTTGGGAAATTAAATACTCCCTTGTGGAACTCAATGTCAACTCTAGAAGAGGGCAAGAAATATTGTATTATCTATGGATGGTTTGAATACCAAGGTAGATGAATCTTCACATGTGCCAGGATTTCTCCAAGAAAGGACTGTAATAAGAATGTGATGATGGCTGGGCGCGGTGGCTCACGCCTGTAATCCTAGCACTCTGG